TTTAGCTTGGCGGATTCAGACCGCAGTCCGGACGCGCGTTGTGGAGTTTCCCCTTAACAGCACTGCGCGACACACACCTCGCGTCACACGCAGGGACGCGCGTTCTGCGGAGTTTCCCCTTATAACAGCACTGCGCGACACTTCTCGGGACGCACGCGCGTTCTGTGGAGTTTCCCCTTAACAGCGCCGCGCGACACACCTCGCGTCACACGCGCGGACGCGCGTTCTGTGGAGTTTCCCCTTAACAGCACTGCGCGACACTTCTCGGGACGCGCGCGGTCTGTGGAGTTTCTCCTTACTTGCCTCTTGTTAAAGGATTTTTTTTAAATCCTGCTGTGTTTCGGCCTTCGACGGCTGGAAAAAGGTGTAACAAAAATCTTGGGCGGGGCCTTGCTTTGACTGAACACTCACAGCTGGGGGGGTCATGAATGAAGCTTATGTATCAGCGAAAATCACAGACAACCTGAGTTGTAGCCCATACTACAAAATAGAAATAGTTGGAAACCATTTTTCTAAATACTGTGTATGTTTCAAAAAACATAAATGCCTATTTCGATTTCTCGAATGCAGGCAACCACATGTCGAGCACTAGTTTCAAATATTTCAGGTTATCGAAATTAGGTTCGCAAATTCGTGGGACCACATCAAATGTCACAGAAAACAGAATTAATGCATTTCAAGTTGTTCTTTGTTTCATATGTGTTTCTGCAGCCACTACACGTGCACACATGCCATGTGGTTTCGTGGTTTTCAAGGCCCTATATTAATTCTTGGCTCGTATAATAATAGGCTTCTTTGAAATTTGCCAGGTTCGAGATGTAGGCCCATTGAACAGATAGATTCCTACCTTCTCCTACCCCCCTTTCAGACACCACAATCCAAAAGCCCCAACCCCCAAAGCCCTAAACCCTAAGCCTAAATAACCCTAAGCCTAAACTCCTAAATGCCCCGCGTACCTTTCAGGGCCCTGCAGGCAAGCTCGGCGACAAGGCGAAGGAGATCAGACGGTGCCGCGAAGGCGCCAAAGAAAATGTGCCGCGATGGCGCAAAGGCGACGAATGACGACCAACGACGACGACAATTGTGCCGCGATGGCGCAGCCACAGACAAAGAAGATGCGCCGCGATGGCGCAGACATGCACTCAGAGAAGATGCGCCGCGATGGCGCAGACACAGACAAGATGCGCCGCGATGGCGCAGAGGGGGGAACACATCATGTGCCTCGAAGGCGCAGGAGCAGCAAGTAGGCAGCGCACCGCGAGGGTGCATGTAGACTTGTCATGTGCCGCGACGGCGCATTCTCTCCCTTACTCTGATCTCTGTGCCTCTCTCTCTCTCTCTCTCTCTCTCTCTCTCTCAGGCTGTCTGTGCCACTTTCGACGATGCGCCGTGATATCATGCAGTGGCCACTGCCTGAGTTACGGTGTCTGGGCGCTTTGTTGCTGCTCCCTCGAAGATGTTCTGGTTGCGCACACGCAGTCACCGTAAGGCTGTGACAGCGTCGACCGGGCAGAATGCAGTAGTCAGTAGCCTCAATCGTGGAAGAAGCCCCGAATGTGTTCATATATCGACTAGAACCGCAATGAGCAGACTCCGTCTGGAATGACTGTGACGGGCAGTCGAAGTTGCAAACCACTTTTCTTTCTGCCGAGGCTGCCGCGGAAGACGCTCTCCGCTACTAGAGGCCCAGTGCACAGTGCACAGCTGCGGCCAGCCCACCAGCCAGTTCGTCGTGCTAGCATGTTGACTACCGTTCTATGCCATCAGCAGGCATTGTCTACATCTCTGATCTTTGCAGCCGGAAGTCTGGGCCCTACGACGACCGGTCTGAGTCGGGTTCACTCGTCGCGGTAGGCACCTGGATCATTAAGATCCCTTCGTGAGGGGTTCCTATAAAGTACCTTTAACAGTTTTGGATGCTTCCGGGGGACTGGGGATGATTGAAAGCCGAAACCCTCCACCCCAGAGAAAAAGCAATCCGAAACCCAACCCCAGCTCGTCACCCAAAAGTTTCTGTGGATGGAATAAGCACAGAAGAAAGTATGCATGTCACATAATGCATCACAGACACCGGTGTTGTGGGGGCGCTCTTGGCCGGTGATGTGGGGCTCTGGAGCCGGGCATTCATCTCCGACATCACTTGCCGATGTTATGCGGGTGTGCTGGGTGTGCTGTTTTGGGGCCTTGGTGGCTACTAGGGTCTGTCTGGGTTGTCTGTTGGTGGCATGGAGGGGGGTTGTGGGGGCTGTGGTAGGGTTTAGGGGTTTAGGGCCCAGGGTTTTGGGTTTTGGGTGTAGGGTTAAGAGTTGCGAATTGGGGTTTTCCAAGGGAATCGGTGTTTGGGCCCGAATCCATAGGAAAATACATAACGCAACTAGTTGCAAATTGTGTTTTTCCAAGGGAATCCGACTTTGGGAATTGGGTTTTTCCAAGGGTATCGGTGTTTGGGCCCGAATCCATAGGAAAATACATAACGCAACTAGTTGCAAATTGTGTTTTTCCAAGGGAATCCGACTTTGGGAATTGGGTTTTTCCAAGGGTATCGGTGTTTGGGCCCGAATCCATAGGAAAACACATAACGCAACTAGTTGCGGATTGTTTTTTCCCGAGTGAATCCGTGTTTGGGCCCGAATCCATGGTCAGTGAGAGTTGCCGCAGCCGTTGCTGCTCTTGGCTGGTTCTTCAGCATAATTGTTTCTTGCAATGGCTGATGATGACGCTAACTTCCCGCTACTGCAATTTGGTCCATGCAGATGGAGGGGTCTTCGGAAACGAGATGGGTTGCCTCTCTGTCAACACGAAAGACCTGATGTTCACTCTTTCTTGAGGGTGCAAAACTGTGATAGGGCAGGTCTTTTCGCTTCCTTGACTTGGAGAGGCCGGAGGAAAAAAATCACTTTCCGTGCAAAGCGGGGCGGTGGCGCACTGATGTTCTCAGTGAGCTCTACACTTAGGACAAGTACTTGTCAGCAGTGGCTGCTGCACCATCCACGTGGTGGCAACATCTTGGTGGAGTCTGTTGGGCAAACTGTTGTGACCTTGAGGTTTCTGTGGCGCATGAACAGGGAAGTGAAAGCTATCATGAGTCGCATGTCTGGGCGGCGTTGGGCTTCCGTCAAGGCAACTACGACAATGAGAGTTTGCGAGTTGCGCCGGAACCTTGAGGAGAAGATGGACGGACTCACCATACTAGAGAAGGGAAGGGTTCAGTATACTACCGAAGCTGGCCGTTTGCTGTGTCTGAAAGGCTCTGCCAAAGTCTCAAGTCTTCTGAAGTGACCGGCCATGATGGTCTTACCTCATCCAGGAGGCGACTGCGTTTGGTGATGGTCTTACCTCATCCGGGAGGTGACTGCGTGTGGTGATGGTCTTACCTCATCCATGTGCGCACGCGGCGCGAAAAACTTCAGAATAGAAATAGGCAGTTTGTGTCACACCGGGCCTGAAGTGTGATAGGGGTCGGAGCTGCGCAGTGCCGTTGAAAATGGTGCGCCGAACTGCCAAGCTGCCTTTCTCATCTTCCCTTTGAAGCCAGCTGTCGTTCTTGAATTGTGTGCTGTGGTGATATAGCGTGTAGTGTGAGTGTAGTGTCGTACATGGACTCAAAAACCCCCAAACCAAGCGGCAGTCAGTGGATGCAGTGGGGGTTGTGTGCCGTGGTGATGTAGTGTGTAGTGTCGTAGATGGACTCAAAAACCCCCACAGCAAGCGGCAGTCAGTGGATGCATTTTTTTGTGGACAGTTTCTTGCATGCCGCAGCCATTTCCTGATCAAGTTAAAGCAGCCACTTCCTGCAGCCACTTCCTGAAATAAGCTATGTCCTCCTACCCATCCTCCAGCACGGTTTTGCGTGGAGTGGTTGCCTATGTCGCGAATCCTGGTGGTCTTACCCCAGGGCAAAGCAGAAGTGCCGCAAATCCTGGACCAAATCCTGGACCTGGTGGTCTTACCCCAGGTGTCCTTGCCCTAGCCAGCCGTGTCAAAGTGACCGTGACCGATGTGCCCGGTTACGGTACTTTGACACTCGAAGCAGACAGCAATTGGACGTTGGATGATGTAAAAAGAGTGCTGGCTAGGGTGATAGCAACCAACGAGGTCCACATCCCGTTGGGAGACTGGGGTTTTCATGCATTGACGCGCTGCACCCCATACAACATGCCGGTTTCCCATTTGAGGCATGAAGACATGCCCTTGCGCTTTTGCTGGCATGAGTGGACAGACAGCTGGAGACACTCGCAGCAGCGCTGATGGTCTTACCTCATCTGGAGAGAAGCAGTGATGGTCTTACCTCATTGCTCCTGGCCGCCAGCGATGATGGTCTTACCTCATCGCCTGGAAGAGCGGTGACTTTAACGCAGAGACGGCCGCGCGAGGCAAAATCTGCGGCTGTCAGGCTTCTTTAAGCTCAGTTTCGGCATGACTTGTTGTAGAAAAGTTGGGTTGGGTAGGGTTGGGTAGGGTTGCGCAGGGTTGGGTAGGGTAGGGTAGGGTTGGGGTAGGGTTGGGTTGGGGTTGGGTAGGGTTGGGTAGGGTTGGGTAGGGTTGGGTCGGGTGAAAGGCGGCCCAAAGAAGCAGCCCAGAAGCAGCGCAAAGGCTCCAAAAGGCTCATTCAAAGTCTCCAAAACGCCCCAAAGCAGCCCCCACAACCGAAGCTCCCCAAAAAGGCTCCACAACCGCTCCCCAAAAGGCTGCAAAAGGCTCCAACCTCCCCAAAAGGCTCCCCAAAAGTCTCCATCGCCCCCGAAGCAGCCCCGAAGCTCCCCAAAAGGCTCCAAAAGGCTCCCCAAAAGGCTCCAACTTACCGACCCCCCCTTCGGTAAGTTGCTCCCTGCGGTAAGTTGCCACCCCGCCGTAAGTTTGGTAATGTTGCCCCACCGGTAATAAATATATCCACTGCGATTTGTCCAACCAAGGCCCGTCGACCCACTTAGGTAAAAGAATTTTGCCTGCAGCTCATTTGGTGACAGGGCTCGCAGCTCATTTTAGCACGGGCAAGCAGCATGGCAGTGCAACGTTGGATTAACGACAATTTGGGTGACTTCGACGAGCCGGTCCAGGAAGCGCCGCCTGGTATGGACGACTCGCTGCTGCCTTTGACTTCAGAGCCAGCGAATATAGTGGAAGCAGAGGCAGATGGTCTTACCTCTGCTGGCCAGAATGAACGGGCAGATGGTCTTAGCTCTGCTGGCCAAAATGAACAAGCGGATGGTTTTACATCTGTTGGCCAGAACGGACAGGGCCAGAATGATAGACCGCCCAAATTGAGAAGGCTGGTCGCGTTTTGTATAAGCCCAGAGAAAGCAGAGCAGCAACGCGTGCGCGACTTGGAGCAAGAACTGCACGAGTGGAAAAAGCGCAAGGCACAGCTGCGTCTGCAGCTCATGGCTGAACGTTTGCTATTGTCGCACTATGTTGATTCTCTGTATGTTGCACAAGAGTGGGCTCGCAATCGGGCGGGCAACCGTTAATTCAGTTTTGCACAGCAGATGGTTTTACCTCTGTTTCAGAGCTTGCTCACGTTGTTGGCAGGAGGCCAAAATGGAACTTTGGGTCGTGTGGGAAGTCCTTCGCTTCTCTTTGGTGCTGTTGTTGTGGGGGGAGGAGGTCAGGACAACCCCAAGCCCTGTCAGCCGGGCGTTCCGGGGTAGCGTGCCTTCCTACTTTGCTTTGTGCAGAAGATTGAGGAGGATTCAAGGGTGTTGGGCATTTAAGGCTTCAGGTCTTTATCATAATTAAGGCCCTGAGGTTTTTGAAGCTGAAACCCATTCTTCACATTTGAATTAAAGCCCACAAAACCTAAAGCTCTAATCTCTAAGAAGCTTCGAAGCCTTGGATCTGCCGCTTCTGTGCACACGGCCCAAAAACCCTGAACTGCATCTGCTGCTTTCGATGTCACGGCTCAGGCAAATTCAATACCAGAAGGCTAGACAAGAGATGCTTCAAAGATGATCTTTTAAGGATGATTCGAATAACACTATAAAAGCTTATTGTTTAGGTCAAACCGTTAAATTAGTTCCTTTGGTAGACCCTGAGCCCGCGGGTTTGCAGGAACAGTGCCGAATAGGAAAACATGATGTACTTGCAGGAGCATGCAGTATTAATTTAGCCATAGCCTTACAATCCATGACTCAGAACCACTCAGACCTGCAAAGCTAAGTTTTCGTTTCACCCCGGCCTTTGCAAAACATGGCAGGCCGAGGCCGAGGCCGGGGCTCCGGCCAGGGTCGCGATTGGTACGGCAGCTGGGGCCGCAGCTGGGACAGCGGCTGGGACAGCGACTGGTACGGCTGGAGTGATTGGGGTGGCTGGTGGAGCGGTTGGCCAGAACAGTGGCCAGGTGATCTTGCCACTGGCACCGCCACTTCAAGCGGTCGTTTGCCAGGTGGTCTTACCCCTGGCGCCGCCACTTCAAGCCGGAAGACTGAGTGGTCCAGCAAGTTTCCGCCTGGTCAGTTCGTGACGGCGCTGGTCCCGCTGGCAATGAACAGCTACAGAGACCGGTCATACAGCCCCATTGCGACGTACATCCAGGAGGAGCTTCTCTGCCACATCGCCATGAGGGCGACGTCGCCGGACCGCTTTGGCCACAAGAGAGCCCGCATGACCATCAAGGGCCTTCAAGCTGAGGCCGCTTGGCGGCATTTTGTGCGGGAGACCAACAAGCTGGCAGAGCAAGGTGTGCTGGCAGATCTGGAAGATGGCAAGGTGGCCTGGCACCGCTGCCCACCAGCCAAGCGGGTCCTGGAAGAGGACGAGGACGACGCTCCCGCAGAGGAGGAGGCCTAACAAAAGTTCTAAAAGTCCAAACCCTTAAACCTAAACCTTTTAAACCACTTTTAGGTTTAGGGCTTACTTTTTAGCTTTGAGGTCGATTTTATTGTTGTGGGTCCGCTTTCTCTTATAAGCGAAAACATTGTCTTTGCCAGGAAAAAAAGCAGGACGACGATTCCGTGGACTGGGGCGGCTCGGAGGAGTCACTGTCTGAGGCGGGAGGGCATGCGGCGCCCGATCATGTAGAGACGGATGAGTCGTCTGATGGTCTTACCTCAGACGAAGAAACGCAAGAGGATGCTGCGACTACAGGGCCTGCTCCGCCCCAGTCAAGATGGGAACGACTGAGAGCCTTGGCCATCAGGCAAGTTCAGGCAGCCAGAGACAAGAATGGTCTCAGCCAAGAGGCTGTCAACCTGGTGCAGAGCGTTTCCGAGGAGGAGCCACTGCCCAAGGAGCTTCTGAGCTTGAGGATTTCTTTCTGCATCTGCTGCTTCGGCCGTGGATGGCAGCTCAGGAAGGCGTTGCCAGCAAATATTATGCTCCAGCGCGGCCACATGCAGAATGTGCGTTTCTGCATTTCTTTGTATGACAATGCCGGCACAGATGGCGAGAAGACAAGAGTTTTCTTTGTTTGGGGGTTTTCCAAAAGGAAAGACCTAGGGGCCAGCGAAGTAGCGCGTTAAGGGCGAAGCCCATTAAACTTGACATACAAACATGTCTTAACGAATGCACAGCTCAAGTCGGTACAACATGAGAGTGGATGCAAAGGCGGCTCACATCTTTTTCAACGGTCGGGGCATGCATCGAGTTCGTTTGGAGTTCTATGCATCAGGCACTGAAGGACACGGTGTGCAGCCCCCCGTGGGGGCACGAATGCACAAGACGAAGTGTCCGACCGAAAGCACCCCCCCTTCCATTATTCAAGGGAGAGGAGGGCGGGAAGAAAAAGTTCACAATGCGATTGCCCGAGCTTGATGTGAAAGCGGTGCGCGGGCACTCTTCAAAGCATGTACAAGTTTACAAGTGAAATCATGTCGACATGAAGGAACGGACGTTGTTCCATAAAAAGGTACAAAAGTCATCATGTAAATTCCATGACGATTTCATACAAAAGATTCTGAACTGTTGTTGTTGGTTTGGAATGTCAGCAACCAAAGCTTGGACAAATGGAAAACCGCTCGTTACCTCGCTGCCCCACCCAAAGAAAGGTATATCAACTTCGTTGACGCTGACCTTCTTTGTTTGGGGGTTTTCCAAAAGGAAAGACCTAGGGGCCAGCGAAGTAGCGCGTTAAGGGCGAAGCCCATTAAACTTGACATACAAACATGTCTTAACGAATGCACAGCTCAAGTCGGTACAACATGAGAGTGGATGCAAAGGCGGCTCACATCTTTTTCAACGGTCGGGGCATGCATCGAGTTCGTTTGGAGTTCTATGCATCAGGCACTGAAGGACACGGTGTGCAGCCCCCCGTGGGGGCACGAATGCACAAGACGAAGTGTCCGACCGAAAGCACCCCATAGGCACTCGGGCACTAGTCTTTTGCAGCAGCTATTGCCAGTATCGAAGTTGGCCCATCATCACGAAGGGGTTTGAAATCGCCCATCGGGTCGAAGTTTTCCAACTCCGGCGGCATACATAAGCTGCCTGCATGTCGTCCGTCAAGAAGCCTAATGCAATCGTTGATGCGCCCCCTCGAAGGGAGATCGGCTGGGTTAGAGGTCGAAGGCACCCTCTCTATCCAAGGATAGTGGGGGTGGTCCAGATCCCACGTGTGAAATGACGAGGCCAAGGATTGCATCGAGGGTACTCCCGATACCGCTCGGATGAGCGCGAATCGGGCACTTTCGTTATCGATGAAGTAAATGCATTTTCTGCCGGTCAGTCGGTAGCGTTCTCGGTGGCGGATGCAGACTGCTGCGGCCAATTCAGCCTGGCATATGATCTGCTCGTCGTCATAGCGTTGCCACGATGACACCAAAGACGAGGGGAGAACTCCGTCATAAATGGAAGCCGGGCCACCCATCGTGTCGATGACGACGGCGCCAACGGTTGCTAACCCCTTCTCGAAAGCAGCATCAGTGAAGATAAGAATAGGAGCATCCGGGGAGTGCCACGACACTCTCCTCGGACGAGCCCCTCGCAGGAGATCGCGAATTCGCTCACACAAGCTCTTAATCTCACCGGAGCTCGAAGAGCTCAGGGCTCGCGAAAGGGGAGCGACGGCTCGACCAAGAACGAAGTTCGATGCAAAGTTGAGCTGACCCTGTACCACAGGAACTAATCGGAAGTCACCCCGGCCGCTGCCCAACTCGTCCAGCAGCTCGGTGATGTGCTCGATCCGCCGAGGCTTGTTGCGGACCTCCAAGAAGCCGAAAGGTCCGGCCAGGCCCGACAAGTCAAGGGTGCAGCCCAACACATCGAAAGTGGAATCGAAATCTCGCGCCTTATCTGGATCTGTAGAGAACCTCCAACCGAGGGCGGACAGCAAGAATTTAATGGCAGCGGTAGCCGATGCTGACGAAGCCTTGGGAGATATCGCTGGGAAATCGTCGAAGTACACCGAGCTCGGCACAAGGATGGCCTCATTCATAAGAAATGAAAGTGCTCGGCTCATGCGCACGAATCCATACACCGACCCCTCAGCCCCGAAGGGGAGGGACTCCGAGATGTAGTACAGAGGCAGTCCTTGTTCATCGTGGTGGCAGAGCACCACCAAGTGGCGCTGGGAACGAGGAACAGCCATCTGCTTGTAGGCTTTGGCTAGATCCACACATCGACCAAGCCACTCAGAGCCGGAGGGAAGCACTCGATCACCACAGAGCACATCACCAGTGGAAAGATCCATACGAATTTTGTGCCGACCCGACATCTTGCCAGCCAGCTTGATCATCGCCACCACATAGTCGAGGTCTTGCAGACGAAGGCGCTCCGTGGAGGAGAAAGATGAGTTCAGACCCGAAGATTTGCAATCGTCGATAACCCGGGGCTTGGCCTTGGAGCCCTGAAGCAAAACAAAGCGTGGAGTTGCAATCCAGTCTGGCCTTCCCAAAGCCTCAGTAACTTCGGCCGCTGTTCGATATGGTCCCGAAATGAATCCAGCCGAAACCTCACCTTCACCAAGAGAAGTCAGAGTAGCAGCATCCTGGGGTGAAGAAGTTTTGGAGCTCACAAATTTCCGCCTCCAGGAAGATTCACGCTCCAGCTGTTCGGTGCTAACTGTTGCCGGGCGAAAACTACGATCGGCATAGGGAGGATGGTCCTGAGTGCCAGTCAAGGAAGGGCCGTCCCGAAGCATCTCCCAGACCCCAACATCGTCGTACCGGTACTCTTCCAGCAAGGTCTTAAAGAGGAGAAGTCGTTTTCCTTTAAGAACCTTCTGAAGCTCAGGAGAGAAAGAGCGATGTAGAGCCTCCTCATCGGGGCGAAGCTTCTCCGTCAAATGTGTTACATGCTCAAGGAAGGAGGCTCTCAAGCTTGCAACCTCGGCAGGGGTTTTAGTGAGGTTAGCGAACAGGGCTCTCTTGAAGGAGTCCGTGACAACGCTGGGACCCGCCATCGGGTGTTGAAGAGCACGAGCTCGCTGCACGAACTCCTCGGGAGTCGCATAAATGCCTATGGGGATCTTGTCAGAAACCTCCGAAGTCGAAACCGAAGGGGGCACCGAAGAGGGCCCAGAAGGAAGAGGACCAGAAGAAACCGACGAACCCAAGAGACCCTCAAAAGACCCCTCAGAAATGCTGAAGGCCCCGCGATGGGCCCCCTGCTCCGGCCGGAGGCATTTATGAGGGCAACTAGGCAAGTCGTCACGACGCAGCCACTTGATGCTGGAAAACTCAGGCATAAGCTGACGAGACTTACGTGTTTGTCGCACCTCATCTCCTGGCCGAGCCAGGGCAGGAGGTGGAGTGAAAGAGATCTCCTGACAACAAGCCTGGATCACAAGTTGCACAAACTGCGAAGGGTGTTGTTCGTTTTTGCACAAAAACCCAAAGGGGGCATGCTTGTGCCCGTCGCCCACTCCGGGGCACATGTGAACAAGTGAACGAAGCGCAGAAATGTTGGTGAGGAACCTGATCGAAGCTGGCCTAGAACCTCCAAGCATGCACATGTCACCGCAGAAAGCCTCCAGGGAGGCCTGACAAGACTGAAACTCTGGAAGAGATTCAAGGCAGCTCCAAAACAGGGAGCCATCAGGGTTCTCAATGCAAACGAAGGCCCCTTTAGCGAGGGCCCACACGAGAACCTTGGCACAGAAGCGAAAGAGGCGATTTTCTGCTTGGACCTGTGCCGACTGTCTAGGGTTAAGGTCTGCAAGACCCCAGGGCTTGTCATGTGACCTCAAAGGCGGGCACTTGTCAACTGCTGGGTGTGAAGACGGCAATGACCTGGCACGGGCTTTGTTCGCAGTGCGACAGGGAGGCCGAATGTACACAAAGGTCGGCCCAAAGTCCTCTAGAATATGCAAAGCAAAGTCCTGGCCAGTGGGACTCGACAACTCACAAACAAGGGGCTGGTGCTTGTGTCGCCCCGGAACCACATGTTGATCGATCGCTATGGTCTGCCATCCGATTCTGTTGAAGCTTGAGGCCAAAGCCCCATCACCTGAGAACACCTGAGCGAATGAGGCCGAAGCGCGAGGGGCGCCATCCGTGCCATGCAGCAGCCTAGGGGGATTAGGGTTAGGGTTCTGCAAGTCACCAGGCCCAGGCAGGCGAAAGCCCAAGCCGATCAGGGCTCCCTGATCTTCGGGACTGGCTTGATCGGAAGCCTGCAAGCTATACGCAACTAGAATAACCCGACGACCCTTAAAAGGACAGGTCTCATGCCGCAAGCGCTTGGCACAGAACAGAGCTGGATGCTGTGACACTGGAAGGAGGGCCCCGACGGCCGAACCTGAATCGAACTCACGAGTTTCATACCTGAGGTGAGGATTCCGAGGAACCGTAGCGGGCCATTCGACCCAAAGATCGCCTCCTGAAAAGTCGGTCAAACCGACTACCAAGTTATCGCAAGGAGCGTTCAAAGCATCAACGTGCATGGCAGTTGAAACGGAGTCAAATAGAATGATTGATGTGAAAATGTGATCGGCATGAACCTGGCGAACGAACTTGCAAAGGACCGCTGTTGAATTCGGGTACAGCTGGGAATTACGTCTTAGTGAAACCTTGACCCTGCAGTAGAGTCCAGTGGTAAAGGACCCACCGGTGCTGTTGCCTTGATCCCGAGACCCACTATAAACCTCCTGAGGAAGGAAATCGAAAAGCTTTACAACATCCTCGGCAGTCACTGACCGATCCAGCTTGAGAAGGCTCTCCGCAAAGGATTCGGCGGTGGCAGAAGATTGGCTCCCTTCCCGAGGAGGTGGACTTCGAGATCTAACAGGATCATCTGAGGATTCCTTGAGTCAGCTGCCCTTGTTCGGGCAATCGCAGCCGGCATGCTCCTTGAGGCAAAACCAGCAAAGGTGATATCCCTTGGCGCACCGTTGTCCGGGCTTCTTCTTGGCCCAACACTTGCCGCGGCTGTATAGGAAGCAAAGAGGCTTGCCATCCGCAGTCTTCGTGTGAGCACCGTCTGGGATGGAGATGTTCGCCGACGAGTCCGAAGGGGTCGTCGTCTTGCCTTTGTCCTTCCCCTTCCCTTTGCCTTTCCCTTTTCCGTTGTTGGGGGTGTAAGGTTCCCACCGAGGAACTGAAGGAACTCGAATCTCAGGCTGAGGGACGAGGTAGGAGAGGACATCGCTTGAGGAGCTGAGGCGCTCGATGATGGGATCACAAGTTGGCGTGCCGCCCGGCCGGGATACAATCTTCCCTCGAACTTCTTCTGCAAGAAGGACCCAAAGGCGCTTATCGGCATCAAGAATTTGTTGAAGGCTGACTTGCTTCATGCTCTTCGGGACCTCGCGCTCGCGGACGGTGTAGAGGTACGTGCGCCAAGTCTCAGCAACCTGGAAGCTCACCAAGCCAGCAAGGTCCATGGCAAGAGCCTTTCTCTGAAGGGCCATGCGAAGTTTCCACTCGCCAGCCGTGGAGCATTCAAGGTCGTCCCCCTTTGTTGCTACCCGAAGTTGGCCGTCTGATCCCAGGGCGAAGGTCTTGGCCTGCTTGATTTGCAAAGACTCCTGGGCGCGACTGGTGCAAAGCTCAGGTCGAATGTAAGTCACTGTCTGCTCTTCCACCATGGTCACGAAGCGATCCACTAACTGATGCGAAGGCTCTGTCTCCGGGGACCAAGTCAATCCTGATAGACGGGCTCGCTGGGACTCGGACCGAGCAACTCGCTCCGACGTGGGGAGCTTCTTGAGAACTGTCTCGGCCCCATGCTCCTGCCTGAGCCGTAGATCACGAATGGCTAGCCCATGAGATTCCCAGAACAAGCGGCGAAGGCACGAAAGCTGCCCCGCATCCGGTGTTCCACTCAGGACAGTGGTGAAGAGATCGATCAAAGGGGTCTCATCGCTATTTCCGGGCTGATACGGAACACTGAAAGCGTACTGCCCAAACGTTGTGAAGCCAGCACTTATCAAGGCATCCACGTTGGTGGCCGAAACCCCGAGCTGCAAAGCTCGCCGCTTGAACTCAACAGCTGAGTCCAACTCGGAGGTGGCCATGGCTCAGCTATGTGGTCGCTGTAAGCCGCCGCTGCCCATCGTTTGGCTCAATGGATGTCACATGCCAGGCCAAACGCACTGAAGATGTGCAGGGCGTGTCACACACAGCGTAGGAAACGACACGATGCTGAAGCTTTGGTTTCGCAGACAGCGAGGCTCCATAAACGATGAGGGATAGTCGGTTTCGTCATAGACGAGTACCCTCCGCTGTATTTGCCAGGGAACTCGGTCCCCCCCGATGGCACAGATCCCGCAGCGCGAAGGAGGGGGCACGGTTTCACCACGAAGTGAAACCCCCTCCGCTGTATTTGCCAGGGAACTCGGTCCCCTCCGATGGCACAGCTCCCGCAGCGCGAAGGAGGGGGCACGGTTTCACCACGATGTGAAACCCCCTCCGCTGTATTTGCCAGGGAACTCGGTCCCCTCCGATGGCACAGCTCCCGCAGCGCGAAGGAGGGGGCACGGTTTCACCACGATGTGAAACCCCCTCCGCTGTATTTGCCAGGGAATTAGGTCCCCTTCCGATGGCACGATCCCGGCGAATCCAATTGCCTGGGAACGACACGATGCCGGGCAGTGTATCATCAAAGATTGATGGGCCCGGACACGTCAAGAGTACGAGCAGCACCGTGAGCAAGCCCACGCCGGTCAGATCAAAATGTTGCACAACATTTTCGAACTAGGCTCCTGACCGAATCTCAGTCCTTCGAGAAAACTACGCTACAGTGCTTGCAGGCCTGCACATCTCCCTCTTGCGAAGTCACCTCCTCCAAGCAGGAGTAATGACGATTGAGGGGGCGGCCGCACAAAAGTTTCTGCAGGTCAAAACTTGCGTGCATGATCCCAGAGATGTTGTGGACATACAAGTGCTGTCGAGGAACCGAAGCCAACGATTCAGGGACCGCGATCTCCTTCACGCGGTCACTCGGCTCAAAAGCTGTCGAGGGATCAATGTCGTTCAAGTCCGGCTCGGATCCAGACTCAGAAGGTACGTACTCACCTAAGTCGGGGTCCTCCTCTTCGCCTGAAGTCTCACCTAGAAGCTCCATGACTCGGCGAGCCCTCCCGCGATCAGGAGAAAAGGAGCCATCGAGGATCTTGTCCAACAAGCGGCGAGTCTGGACGGCGAGCGGAGTGTAGCTGTCTCTGCTGTAGATGAGCACAGACCTGGACTCCCTATCGAAATGGTGGCCCATCAGCTTTTGATCACGCTCGCTCCACCCTCCAAGTTTGCTTATCCATGAAAGAAGCGTGGCCTTCAAACCATGAGATGTGATGTCCTCGACTTCACTGGGCGACGATCCCGCCTTGCACAAGAGGTCGCGAAGCCACAAAGTAGCCTCGGTGGAAGACATAGGCGCCTTGCCGAATTTGCCAGTCCTCTCGCAGTAAGTTGGCAAAGCAGGGCCCGTCGAGTCGAGGCCGAAGTGACGGCGCGAAGCTAACCAAGCATCCGCCCACGGCTTATGGTAGAGGCCCCTCCCTAAACATATCAAGGGGAGCAAAATCGACCTGTCACGTGCAGCATGCGAAGTCTTGTGTTTTGAAGTTGCAGTTTCTACCAAGTAGATGCGACCAGCACTCGAAAGAGAGATATCAGCCAGATGGAGAGAATCATCCCACCTAGCACACGAGTAGAGGGCGAAAAGAACCTGGCCCCCTATCAAAGAATCCAGGCTGGGGGCAGAATCAACCACATGCTTCTCGAGGGCCCACACCTGGTCAGCCGTGAGGACCTCGGATTGTTTGGTGGGCCTCTTCCGAGCCATCTCCCCACGAGCCAGACCTTCGCACCGCGATGAGAACTCGATCTCCTTCGGTAGACCCTTGATCTTAACAACCCCATGAATGAACCTAATGGCAGAGAGCACCGACGAGGCGGCCGTAGCTCCCCGTTTCTGCTCCCTAAGAAGGCTCAGGTACTCATAAAGAATCTCCTCCTGGAAATCCAAAGGAGGAACCCCTTTGTCGTTGAGGAAGCAGCAGCAGCTCCACAAAGAAGAAACTCGCTTTAAAAGTGTGCCGGTGCTCTTCGAAACAAATGCATCGCGGAAGCTGCGGGCCACCACTTCCTCGTCCTGAAGGGCCCCGGCCGCGTTGACCAAGGCACAACCCAATTCTGATGAAGAAGGGTCCTGAAGGACAATGGTACGAAGCTTTCTCAGCTGCAAGGCACGGACCTCAGACTCATCACGATGTAGATTGCTAAGACGAAGCCTCTTCCTGACGAAGTCTGGATACGAGTGCTTAGGCATGGAAGTCGGAGCCATCACAGCCGGCTGAGCAGAAGGAACAAAAAGATCTCCGACTCCCACAGAGTGATGCTTGAGTGTTGGCTTCAAATGAGACGGCAGAGCAGCCCAAATGCCCTGCTCCCACGGAAACTTCGGAGCAGACTCGGAGATGCTCCTGCTTATGGCCGATGCCAAGAAATTCTCATAAGACATTCTCTGACCATGACCCATCTGCAATTCCGATCGAACCCCCGATGACGACGAAGGCTGGGAATGAATCATCGGAGCAGATATAGAAGTAACGGCCGCAGCCGGATCGGAAGACGGATTAGCCCATGAGCCATCGGATTCCTCAGCTAAGCCGAACGAACCTGCCGTATCATCCCCCGCAGATCCAGGGGAGTTCGGAAAGACTGGCTCGTCATCGGGCCACATCTAGCCAGCAGGCCCAGGAGTAGGAGCCTCCGAAGGTGGCCCCGACTGTCCCATGCAGCGCACAAGCTACAACGTCGGAGGGGGCCCCGGTTCGGAAGCCTGTTAGGGCCTCCGAAGAAAAAGTTCACAATGCGATTGCCCGAGCTTGATGTGAAAGCGGTGCGCGGGCACTCTTCAAAGCATGTACAGGTTTACAAGTGAAATCATGTCGACATGAAGGAACGGACGTTGTTCCATAAAAAGGTACAAAAGTCATCATGTAAATTCCATGACGATTTCATACAAAAGATTCTGAACTGTTGTTGTTGGTTTGGAATGTCAGCAACCAAAGCTTGGACAAATGGAAAACCGCTCGTTACCTCGCTGCCCCACCCAAAGAAAGGTATATCAACTTCGTTGACGCTGACCTTCATCGAAGAACACTTCCAGGAAGAGCTGGCAAACGGGTTCTTGGTGGTCCGCTTTGCAAATGATGTGCCGCATTTTCATTCCCCCGTGTGCAAGAACGCGGCTCACAAGCTGGCATTGTTGGTGCCTTGGGGCCAAGGCTTTGTGTCCTCGGATGGTCTTACCTCCTTGGACACGGACTGGACAAGGGAGCCGCAGGCCTGGGAACACGTGGCGCCAGCGACAGCTGCCTCCACGGACAGACGCAGGCACATCCTAATCAACCTGGACGCCGACAACATTTTGTCTGGCAATTTTGTTGGCCTCCTTGCCGCCAACAACCAAGTCCACGGTGGCATTACGACCCTGCCGAGGCAGATGTTTGGTTTCCGCTGCGTGGGAGGAGGTGACTCTGGCTGCACAGGCCGCATGGGCGTGACACAGGACCGCAAGGGTTGCTGGTTTTTTAGGGTTTGGGGTTTATAATAATAGGGCTTTAGGGTGGTATAATAATAGGGTTTAGGGTACCGGAACTTATAAAGTGCCGATTTTTTTTCACGTGAGGAAACCTTCCTGCAGCTCAACGGCTACGACGAGTCCTTCTACCCGACTGGCTACCAGGATGTTTGAGTCAAAACATGGCTAACCCGAAGCCCTAAACCCTCACGTAACAAGCGCAGACCCTAACCCTATAATATAAAACTTAAACCCACCCGAAGCCCTAAACCTTGAATGTGCAGGACATCGACTTCTTTGAGCGCCTGAAGCACAAGGCGCCGGGCTGGGCCTATCGACTCTCCTTCCACCGCGGGTGGTCGATCCCAAATGACAGAGACGAGAAAGTTGCCCAAACCACAGCAAAGGTCCAACATTCGGGCTGCAGTCTCACGTGGTCCTTGCAAAATGCAAGGAACAGGGACAGCAGCAAGGAGCAGCTTAGTGAGGGGCGGTGGTTCCGGAATACGGACACGCAACCGGAGCCCCGCAAAGCGCTGCTGCTGCTGAAAGCATTGGGCGGCCCCTCACTAAGCTGCTCCTTGCTGGCTGCTGGAAGGATCAGGGATGGTCTTACCTCCCAGGTCAGGGATGGTCTTACCTCCCAGGTCAGGGATGGTCTTACCTCCCAGCGCGGTGCAGGCGAGGACCATGCCAAGACAGAGGTCGATGAGGCGATGGAGGTGGACCAGGAGCCCCCAGTCCAAGCCACGAAGGAGGAGGCGGCAGCTGCTGCAGATGCGGCGATGGAGTCCGCAGACGAGCCGGCCACAGCGAAGGCACGTCCAGCGGACAGGCCTACGGCTGGGATGGTCTTACCTCCCAAGCGGAACAAGGTCTACGTGGACATTGTGACGTGTGGGGTGGCCAACCTGCAGTTCACTTTGGCCCCGGCCAGCGGCAGGAACAGGTTGCCGGCAGCCCTGTACCACAAATGCAAAGCAATGAGGCTGTTGGCAACTTCCAAAGGAGACCGGGCGGTGGACCACAACGCACTTGTTGAGATGCTGCGCGAGGTGGACGTCTTCCCGCGCAACACCACAGAGCATGTTGCGTTGGACACGCGGGTCTTCCACGACCCCGGGAATAAGAACACCATGCGCGACCACATAGGGTACCACCCCGAGATCATACGCATGGTGGCGGAGTCCCAGACGACATGGTTCCACGAGTTTGTCCGCTTTGTGCGACGCGCGGTCCGCGCCGCGCAAGAAAAAGACATCCCCGCGGGTCAGCGCAGGTCGGTCGGCGTCCTCTGCTTCTGCAAGAGCGGCAACCACCGCTCCGTGGCCATGGCCTTTCTCCTCCAGCACGCCTTACAAAACTCCAACATCATAGAGGCAGTTCAATGTGCTCACGTGACCGAGATGGCAGGGAACTGGGCAGAGCGCCAGTGCGGACCTTGCGACATTTGCCGTGGGCAACCAAACCAGGTCAACACGGCTCATGATAATATTTTGCGCCAGGCGAAACATCGCGCCAGGAGTGCCTGGAAGCATGCAGTCCAGAGCGCGTGAGTGAGAGACTGGGGCGATGGTCTTACCTTGCTTCGGTGTACAGTAGTAGCAGCAATGGTCTTACCTTGCTTGTGCACGGTCCTCGCAATGGTCTTACCTTGCATTTGTAGTTAGAACGTTTCATGCTGTCTTCCAACACAGCACTGCTCCCGAAACCTTGTTTCGACGTTGTTTATGTTGTTGTAAGATGTTTTTGGTTACAGAATCAAAACACTAGAAAGCTGTTTTGATTAACCGTTCCGAGGAGCAGTGCCGTTGCAGCACAAGCTTTCGTGTCACACCGGCGCAAGATCCCGATTCCTCTGCTTATAAGTGAGCCCATAATTTTTGTTCATGGTTCACCAGCCGTTTAGGAACTATTATAAAAGTGTTTCGGGATTCGCGCTGTGGCTGCTGCGCTCGCAGACTTCAGGACTTCTGGAGATGAGAAATGTCCGAATCTTGCTCGAAATTTGAGACCTAAACCCTAAACCCGTCATTACACTAAACCCCTAAATCCCTTTTTTCCTCTACTGTACCTCTACACTTAAAAAACCTTAGACTCGCAACCCTGAACTGTTTAAACCGTAAAACCCCACCTGGTGACCACAAACCCCAAGCCCCAAATAGGTTGGCAGGTAGGTACGTTTTTGTGCAAGAGAAACATGTGGTTAAAAGACTTGCGAGCTGCAGTGTGGAACTTGCTTCATGTGTTGTCGCCACGGCAATCTCAAATGGCATGTGGTCGGGAGTATTTGAAGGGCACTCTTCACTGACCAGGGTTTAGGTTTTGGTTATTAACTTACTATTTACTATTTAAATAGAGCTAGGCTTTGTGTCAGCTTCTAAGTAAACACAGCACAAACATGTTCTTCAACGCAAGTAACAGCCTGACAATTGAACACAGTCTGCCAAGACCTCCTAGCCATGGCAGATGCGGCAGATGCGCGGAGATTCATCACTCCGAAGATGCTGGCCTCTCATTACAAGAAGTGCAAGAAGAAACACTGCGTTCGTTGCTTTTGGCATCGCAGGGGACCTGCGTTGCGGAAGCAATTTGCTTTTCGCGAGAAGCGGAGCGGTGAAAGGAGGCCGTGGCTAGCCATGGCCATGCATTGGAGGAAGAAGGACAAGCCAACGCTTGGCATAGGATGTTGGCTTTGCCATCATTACCGAACAATGTTGCAGCAGAAGCCGGATGGTTTTACCTCCGCATCTACATTCGCCAGCCTGTCCCTCCAAGCTGATCCCAGGCGTGGGCTTTCAGCCCAGTGCAAGAAGCACGAAGGTAGCACCTTCCATAAAGACGCCCTGCTGTACTGTACAACGCGCGCCGGTGAATTGCTGAGTGGCATCGCGCCCCCTGCCAAGGAGTTCCAAAGCTGCCTCAGGAGAATGAGAAAAGGGCGCAGTGCTCGAGATGGAGGAGGCTGCAGCGACAAGATAAATTTGATGAGATGGTGCCTCACCGAAGCAATGTTGGATGAACATAGGGCGGCTGCGCGCACATGTTCTTCTGTCGTTTTGATCCGGGACGAGCGCCATGGTAAATTGATGGTGCGCTTTCGCTTGTGCGAGAGCGCAACGCTGAATGTCCGCAGTGGCGTCCCCTGAGGCCGTCCTTGAGCTGGTCGAGGCCTCTTGTGAGCGGGACTTACCATGGACGGCCCTGCTGAAGGAGGCAGTTTGCGCAGTTGGGGCCTTCACCGGGCTGTCCACTGATCAGCTCCGCGACAGCCCCATGAGAGTTGCCCGCGCTCATGCTCGACTCTTGCGAGGAGCCTGCCGCCGTTTTGGACGATTCAGCTCGGGGCTGCTGGCCTTTCACCGACTTTGGAGCAGCCGTGCTATTCGTTCGCAAACTGGCACCATTGGACAGTCTAACCCTGTGCAGTGCCCGGTGTGCGGATGGATTGGCCGCACGGCCCAAGCCCTGGCGGCGCATCGTCATCGCAAGCATGGCACCCTCGCTAGGGCGACTGAGCTCTGCAATGGTACCGCTTGCAGCTGGTGTCTCCGAGACTTCCACTCCTCCGATCGACTTAAATATCACATCGCCACATCGGCTGAGTGTCGCCTTTCCCTTGAGATTTCTGTTGGCGCACATCACCAGTATGGGTCTGGCACGAAACGGCGGGGCCCGCAGAAGCATCGCCGTCTGCCACCGATTCAACTGTGCGGCCCGCGCTCACCACCCTCTGCCTCGGTGCTTGCGATGGCCCAGCTTGCCGGCAGAAGCTTCTGTTTCCAGGTCCAAGGCCCCGCGCCGTCTCCCTTGTGGACCGGATTGCGACGTGGTGCTGCTGGATGGTGGTTGCCACCTGTGTGGCAGAGTCTGGCTCGATTCTGGCAAGCCATGGCCGACTGCGCGGCCCTGTCGCCCTCAATTCTGGCGGGCTTTCGGGCCGCGCTAAGAGCTTTCGAGGGAGATCATGACACCCCTGCTCACTGCCCGTCTCGGGCAGAGCCTCTGCCTGCGGCCCTGAGCTCCTCCTACGGCACACCCTCACTTTTCTGCATCTCGCTCGTTTGGTGCCGTTGGGGCATGCCTTGTGTTCTTCCTTGCCACCCGGAGCGTGTCTTCGTGCGGCTTTGGGTTGCCTTTGCCCGGATGCCGCTTGGTTTCTCACTGTCTTGCAGGGTCAACCTGTCTGGATTTTTGCATCCTTGGGTTCTTCCTTGTCGCGGCTTGCCTTTCTCTTCCGGCATCCGCCCTCCCCTCTCGCTCTCGCGGCCCCTCATCAGCTGTCTTCCTCCTGAGCCGCCCTGCTGTCCCCTAGTGTTCTCGTTTGCGAGGTGCCGGGTCAGCTTTCCTGCTTGGTGGTTGTGCACGCCTCGGTGGTGCACCCTCCTCGCGGGTCCTTTTGTTTAGGTTAGTTTGAATTGGCTGCAGGCTTGCCTGCTTTTGGCCTGCACGCGACCGCTCCGGACGTCCGTATGCGTGAGAGAGAGAGAGAGAGAGAGAGAGACAGAGAGAGAGAGAGATGACGCCTGGAAGTTTTGGGCTTGCAAGGGATTCAGCGGTTTTGGATTTAGGGTTTATGTTTTTTTGGACGTCCCTTTTCCAATCGCAGAGCTCTCTGGAAAGTGGTTCCCACTGGGCGTATAGTCTGCTCCTGAGGGATTACAGATTAGAAAGGTGCCCGAGTTTGGCCAAACGACCGATCGACCTAGTCAGTAGCAGCACGAGGCCCAGGACAGTTCAGCGTCAGAACATAAGCAATCAAAGTTTACATAGACCCCTCCCTTTGCTGCTGAAGGTTTATGTTTTTGAGTTTAAAGTTTAAGAGGCTATGTTCTTGAAAGGAGAGGCTGTGAAGTAGCATGATCCTTGTAAAACCCCCCTCCCGCCCATGCCCCACCCTTGAAACCTGTCGAAGCCTGAAAAGTCTGAAGACAATCAAGGCCCAGAAGATCCCTGAAAATCCGCAGACCTTCAAACCCTAAACCCTCAAAAATTACCGAGTCGAAAAGGCCAGCAGTGAAGGAAACACACAGGGGCAAACTACGCGCCACAGTCTAACTACAAGCAACGCGCTTCCTCATCATGCCGCAGTGAGGCGCAGGACAGTATTCATGGAAAAAGCCTGGCAAGCGAGGCTCAGGGCTGCGGACTTGGAGGGGAGTCTCGGGCCAGGTTCCGAATTAGGGTCGCTTCCAAGGCCCTTGTCAAGATTCGCAGATTTGGTCAGGGATTGAGGATCACCCCAACCCTGCGTCCCTACGTAACGACCGAAAGATCGCAGATTCTTCTGAACGGAAGGTCAGGGCACAAGCAAGATGCTTCATTACGAGCCCGTTGCAGCGACCTACTTCTCGATGCTGGAGTCTGGAGTCGAGACTTAGAGGCCCAGCAAAGCTTCAACCAGCAGAAATTGTGTCCGATGCACCCAGAGGGAACTCTTCGCAGGACTCCAACACCTCATGTCCTCGACGGCTCGAAAGCCAAAAAAAGCATCCGGACCATCAAAATACCACATCTGCTTCTCCTAGGTCCTAGGGCCTAGGGCCTAGGGAATTTACCCACATCTTGGGCCATGGCCAGGTCTCTCTCCCTGCATCTTGAACTCTGCGCCTGCGGCTCCAACAACAGTAGCTGAGTACAGGCTCTGCGGGGCATTTCGCCCCGAGCTACCCGAAACTGAAAACCCCAAAACCGAGCCCCAACACCTTCTTGGCTTTGGAAGCTGGCCTGGCCCTTTCTGCTGACAGCAGCCCGGTCGGCAGTATCCTGGCCGAGCCAGAGCTTAGTTAGTGGTTTAGCAGCGGCTTGTGGTCATGAGGTTCGTCCTGAGAAACTCCGGAAACAGATGGCCGGCTCACGAACTCACAACGCGGAACCGAAGGCAAAGCCCCAATGTTCTATATACGTACGTCGTCGTGGTCCTAGTGATTGTAGCAGTACCAGTCGCAGTAGCAATAGCAACATCACTAGCACTAGCACTAGCAGCAGCGGTTTTGCTGGTAGCAGTAGCAATAGCTAGAGCAGGAGCAGCAGCTGCAGCTGTTGATGTCGTTGTTGTTGCCGTTGTTGTTGCTACTGTTGCTGCTGTTGTGTTGTTGTTGCTGTTGCTGCTGTTGCAGCAGTAACTCGTCACAGTAGCAGCCGCCGCAGCAGCAGCAGCAGCAGCCGTCGCCGTAGCAGTAGCAGTAGCAGTAGCAGTCGCAGTGACAGTAGCATCGTCGTCGTGGTGGTGGTACTGGTACCCGTGTACTGGTACCGGCCGTGGCCGTGGTGGTGGCGGCGGTGGTAGAGGTACCGGTCGTGGTAGCGTTAGTAGGAGCAGCACCAGCAGGAGGCGGAGGAGGCGTTGTTGTGGTAGTAGGAACAGGAGTAGTCGGAACCACAATTGGGCTATGAGCAGCAGTGAGAAGCAGCAGCAGCAGTGTGGCGGCGGTGGTAATCGCAGAAGTTGCGTGGTGGCCCTTCCTGCTGTTACCCTTCACTCAAGAGACCGGCCTGATTTAGGATGAAGCTCCAGAAATTGTGGGGCCAAAACTCCCCCGTGTCTGAGCCCACATCTCGCACAAGACTCGTGGGTTGCTGCAGAAATCTCGAGCGATCAGCATGCAAACCTTGTCTCACAGCTCAGGCCGTTCACTTGCCCGTGTCCCCAGGGTTCTCATGCCCTGAGCTCAGACATGACTGTCTTTGTCGCGGTCTGTGGCGATCAATGCAGAGGTCCGATGTCAGGATGAGTGAAACTGGATGCATGGTGCACTAATTTTGGAGGCACCTTGCTTCTCTTCGAACAAGAGTGTCAGAAAGATGTACAGTTGAAGAAAATGCGGGCCATCTGTTGCAACATCTTAATTTGTGATGACATACTCATTCTCATGAAGTCACCGTTGCCTTGAGCCAACGGGGCTAAGCTTGCGAAAGAAGTGTACCGACATGCACACTTCCCCTTGGAAACCACATCCCTGCCCTTACTCCACATCCCTGCCCTTACTCGAAAACTCGCCTGGCCTAGTTTCGGACAGGCACGAACAACTCAAAAGATGCGTCCTCTGTACGCCTTTGGGGCAAGGACTTGCTGTGGGTCGGCCCATCAGACCCCTTGTCTGAAACTGCCCCCAGACAGCTCGATGCGGGTCTGCCTCGGGGAGCAAAAAAAATCATCGAAATCCGTACAAGTCAGACTCAAGTACTTTCCATGATCGTCGATGGCGTTCGTTACATCTAGGTGGAAGCTGATGCTTTGCAGAAGCATCGAGGCCAACCATGTGCTCTTGCTTGATCAAATAGCTTACACACCTTTGCGATACACTTTCATTTAGTCTGACTGTCCCATGTCCTGTCAGAACGTCTCTGGTGCATGCAGGCTTTGCTCAGGTCTGGAACCATTCACGGAGCAGCCTGAGCAAAAAAGAGGCTTGAAATCTTGCCTTCATTCTGGGACATGTCCAGTGATTACGAGACTGGCAGCGACCAGCAGTTCGGGGCGCACACATACTCGTTGCATGCCGAGGAGTAAATGCAGAGCATGACTGTCCAAGTCCAATCGTTGCAGCCCGGCGGCCACGCAGACGCTTTTGCTTTTCCTTCTGAGTTTGTGTCCGTGGACAGTCCTTGGTTAGGGAACCGGGCTGCAGGCCGGGTGCTTTGGATGGCTCCAGTTTCGACTTGGGGAGGGTCCGTATTTGATCCCTTCTCTACCTAATCACGGACCCAGATCGAACATCGAACGCAGCCGTCCCAAGGCCCTCCGAACGAACTCGTCTTGTGTCTTGCCCTCCTCTGGCTTAGCTACAAGCGTGCCTCCTTGCTACAGTTCAGCACTGCACAGCAAGCCTGCGAGCCACAACCGAAGCTTCAAGCAGTCGCTTTAGGTTTGCTGGTCAGAAACCATTATTGAAGCGCCTTTCAAAAACGCCCAGAAGGCTTAGGAGCTTCAAGGCGCCAAAAGGATACGAGATTCTGAAGCCCATCAGAGTGTCTCACTGACCGCCATCCAAGGTGGCGTCCGCTTCGTCCTCCTGCAATTGTCCAAGGCGTTGGGGGGCTCCATTGCGGCTTGAGGGTTTAGGGTTTAAGCAAAGTTTCACGGTGTGCTCGAAAGTCTCCAAGTGTGGTGAGCCTCGACACACTCCAGACACAAGTCCAAGCAGGACGGTGCTTTCATAGATTCGACAACTACAAGCAAAAGTTTTGGAGGGTCTAGTTCAGGTAACAGAAACCTTTACACAGCTGAGGTTTCGAGGCGGTAGTGCTCTAGCATGGCTGACGGCTAGCCGTCAAACCTCTTGAAGAATGCGGGCCTGTTTGTATGCGAGCACTCGACAGGATGCGCCGGCAGGCACATGACCTTGCAAGCCTCTAACCCCCCATCTTCTCTGCGCGATTCTCGAGGAGAGACAAGCCCAAAAGCGGACAAGCCTGGTAGAAAGATCCGGAAAGGAAACAAAAAGACACGCTGTCCGATGTCAAACAAGAGTCGTGGGAGCCCACCTTCCACCCCGAAACCCAACTTGTAAAGCCCAAGCCGGGTCCTTTGCTCGCTTGAGGGCATCTTGCACATCTGCCACAGAGATCATGGGAGGCACGGTCATGGCATCCCCTCAGGTTGTGAAGGGTCTTCCTAGGACCGCCCAATGTAGACCCCATTTGGGGTCTGAAACGGGGTCTGCCTAGAGTGTTTCGTGTTTCTGCCGACGACCCATTTCAGACCTCTACCGGGCAGCGGTTTGTGCCGCAACATGGGCACTGTCATGCATGGCATACCTTGATATGCTGTATCATGCGTCTGGTCTTGCATGCCCAAACCCGGACATATCCGAGCGTTGACCCCGACCACCTGAAGCTTGCTTCGCGCTTCGACTACAAGCCGGTTCTTGTTCAGGCTCTGTCTCTCTCTCGCTCTCCCTCTCTCTCTTCTCTTTCCTTTGATGTTCTCTCGTCTCTCTTTTCTCCCTTCGCTCTCGTCTCCCGCTCTCCCTGGTTTCGCCCGTCTGACAAACGGACAAACCAAGAAAGACAGAGAGAAGAAAGAAAGAAGGGAAAAACGAGCAAAGCGAGCAGAGGGAAATGAATGGCATTTCCAGAAACGGTCGTTCTATGGCCTCTGCCTCATTGCACACCAGGCTCTTGGAATCCCTAACACAAAGGCCGACCCAGAGCACGGCGGCGACCCATTCCCCCAACCATAAGGAGGGAGCGAATTCGATCTGGCGAGATGCGACGGCTGCAGCTCAGTGAGCCCCAGGGTTTAGGGATCCAGGGTATAGGGTTTGGAGGCGTCTCGGCTCAGGCAAGATTCTGCCCCGTCCCTTTGTGTTCGCCGCGGCATTCGCTTTTCAGACCCTAGCACCTCGTGCGCCGCCATTGACATCTGACTGTCTCTGGTATTACTGCTGCTGTTTGATCAGCCAGTACCCCTTTCGGGGCTTCTCTGAGTCGCTGCCTTTCACTAGGCCGACTCCTTCCCCACACTGGTGGGTCTTCGGCTTTCTACCCGCGGCTTGCCCCCGCATTCTGTTGGCCTTTTATCCGCGGCTGGCCCCCGCTTTTGGGTCGCTGCCTCTCAACAGGCCGACTCCAGCTGGTGTGGGTATTGGCCATTTACTGCGACTGGCCCTCGCACTGACTTGGGTGTGAGCCCGTCTGTCCAGGGGCCTGTTTATGGTCACTCGTCCTACTTACTGGCCCATCGCGGTTCTGGCCTGCCTGGGCATTGGTTTGATCTGGCTAGGCCGAGAGAGTGGTCATTCCGAGGAGCGGGTCGCCCCCTTGGCACCGGCGCTTAAGGCGCCGACGAGCGGCAGCCAGGCGCCGCCTACGATCTGGCAGGTGGAGACAGGACGATCTGAGGTTGCTTCACGGCCACCACGGTTCCATGGCACCGAAGAATCCAGCAAAGGAGAAGCAGGGCAAAGGTGGCGGCAAATCTGGCAAAGCAGAGGGACCGCTGCCGGCCACATCTCAAGTACAGCTCGGGTTCCCCACGGAGGTGATCACGGCCCTGCAATCGATACGGGATCGAGCGACCTCCGATCTACGCCTCGACGACTTTACGGTCGCAGAGGATCGCACGCTGATTCAGGCAGCGAATCAACAAGCATCTGCGATCACCAGGGCGACCAAGCGCTTGGAAGCGAATTCCAAGGCGAAAATAGCTCTAGGCCAAGTCTTGGGACAATGGCTCGACCGGGTTGGCCGCCATCTTGCTGCGTGCCTCGCCAGATCAACAATGTGGGGACACGCATCGATGCGGACATCCAGGACGCCACGGCGGCCTTGGATGCTGCCTCCCAGGGTTTGGCAGCTGGGCAGGCGGCCCTTCTCCGCCGATCACAGCTTGGGTTGGAAACGAGGAGCTCCGCATTGCTGCCGAGCTGAGAGCGGCAGCCGCGGTGTCCGCCGGAAGTTCCGCGACCGTGCCGATGCTGGGTGGACAGTTCGGCTTGCCAGATGGTACAGGAGCAGGCCCCATCGACCCCAACGCCGCGGCGGACATGGCTTTTGGGGGAACAGGGAGCCTCATGGAGGATGTCCTTGTCGATCCACTATCCAGGCCGCCTGCTTCGCCTGGCCCTGGTCCTGGTCCTCCTGCAACAGCCTCGCTGGGTCGAGGTGGGCGCAGAAGAGGGCAACAGATCCTGCAGCCTCCCCCCAGAAGAAGCGAGCCTCCTACAGTGGACAGCGCCGGGGTAGTCGACGAGCTCGCGGTTCCATGGCACAGGACTGTCACGGGCAGGTCCCCCTTGGGCCACAAACCGGTGCCTTTCTCCCAGCTGGGAGAGGTCACCACCCAGCTGGATACTGGAAGCGGCTTGCCAACACAAGGAGCTCCGGACACCGCGGAGCCGCCCGCAGCTGCACCCATGCCTGCAGAAGTGAAGGACTCCGACCAAGGCGAAGCAGACTGGATGGCGGCCCAACAAGCATGGCTCCTGTCCTGGATCGCGGTGGCGCAACGCCTTGTGGTACAAGGCCGAGATTTGGTTGTTCGGGATGTGCCGCGCTTCCCGGACATGCGGCGACCGAAGAGGAGATCCAGAGTTTCCATGGCATTGCGGAGTCTGTTTGGGAAACTCTGGTCGAGCATGCGCAGAGCCCCGATTGAGTGACAGGGCCCCACGTTCTGCATATGGTCCAGGATGTGCAGCGCCTAGGAGGCATGGTACACTCCCAGCCCATCCTGGCTACCTCTTGCAGGTGTTGTTGATATGGGCTTCCATCGGTGACTACAGAATAATGCGTAGGAACAGGCGATAGCTCCATAGCAATACTAAGTAGTTCAGTTCTTTGATCGCGACCGTTGTCGCCGACCAGCTTTCACAGCTTGAACGTTTGAGCCTTTTAGGGTACGATAAGGACCGCCTAAACCGGGATCGGGAAAACGCTAGGGAAACCAAACGACCTAAAGAATCACTACAACCTGAATGCCAGTCAGTGCGCCCGAGCACTGAAGGAACTCTGCGATGTCGTGCTTCTCTGTCAGATGCACTGAAGGAACTCTGCAACGTCGTGATCTAATGCAGACGGCTTTTCAGTGCTTCTGGCTTCCAAGGGAATTAGAGCTTCACGAAAGGTGTTCACCGAAGGGACGCTCTGAAAAACCCCGAACTTCCAAAAACCCCTCTCACAGTCAGTGGCCTTTTGTCGTTCTTGAGCCATCGCAGTTTCGTCGTGTAATGGCTTTGAGACATGCTTGGCGCCTTCGAGACAAGCATATGTCGTTTGCAAAAACATGCACGCGAACAGAAGTGAGAATCCCTTGCACTAGACCTTTACATGGCTGCCCCGTAGCCTTTCCGCTTTCTTTTTTCGAGGTCTTCTTTCTGTTCTTGTTTCGGGCCAGTGCCCATCTTCCTACTCCTACCGCACAGCACTCGAACACGTACGTGTGTCATGTATGCATGTGCGGTGTTCAAAGAGTAGATAAAAGAATTGGTTCGCAAGAGATATTAATTAGATACTTCAAACACGTAGCTCAACAGCCTAGCCAAGGCATCAGTGAGCATATAAAAGCATCATGGACATCTGGGGTTTCCTAGAACACTCCTCCTTTCCAGCTGTTCGTGAGGAACGGCCTGCTGGAACTTTCAACCCCAGTGTCACATGATTGAACGGTAGCGCTGGACTATTCCTTCGGCGCTAAAGAACTTTGAAAAACTCAGTGGCCCATCCGACTCGTCAAGACTCCCAAACGCCTTCGAAGTCTCTCTAAGCGGGCCCTTGGCAAGACTTTGGTAAGTGCATCCGCCACTAGATCATCCCCTGCTTTCCACAAACATTCAATCTCTGCCAAGTCTGCGTCGCGGTAGCCGCGGTGCATCATGTCCCTGACCCAAGCACACCTCATAGCGTAATGCCGAGTTCTCCACGTAAGAGGGTTAAAGTCATTCCTTGTGATCGAAGTAATCGCTGCCGCATTGTCTCCAGCTAACACTAGCCGCGGCCTGTGTCCGGTCAGGGCTTTGATTAAGCCTGCGATACGAGTGGCTTCGAAAAGAGCTGTCGCGCATGCATCGGTTTCAGCTTCACAAGTCGAATACGCCGTAAGATTCTGCCGACACGATTTCCAGAAAACAAGGTTCTGACCTACACTAATAACCAACCCCGTTCTAGACCTAGAACCTGCTGGCCCAAGGCTGGCATCGGACTCCGCATAGATGTCCAAGGATCCTCCTTCATGATGAATCATCTCTGACCACACTGTAGCTCTCAAGTATCTCCAAACGCCCTTTGTAGCATTATACACCCACTCAGGATTCCAAGTCTGCAACGATGCCAATATTCCAACGCATGCCTGGATGTCAGGACGAGTCTTCAAACCCAACCACTGAAGGCATCCAATCTCCCCTTGAGCCTTCTTGAGGTGATCTGCAAAGCCCTTCGTATCCTTCGGCATCAAAGGAATCTGCGTAGCATCAATCTGCGGCAAAGATTCACTCCCCTTAAGGTGTACATAGCCTCGACGATGAAGTTCTCTGATCAGCCACTTCCGTTGGGAAACATGCACCTCATCCTTTTCAAGCGTGACCTGTGTTCCCAAGAATGTGATCTCGTCGACTTTCTTGATGACCTCGTCGCCATCCTTAATCTCAGAATCTGAGCTTCGTGAAAGAAACCCTTGTACCTGGCATTTCCATGTCTGCGCAATCAATCGCTTCACCCTCAAGGTCACTTCTCTCGGTCCGCAAATGAAAGCATCATCGACAAACATAGCCAGAAGTCCCGTGATTTCCCCAGTATTGGTGTCCTTGACAATAAAAAGCCCTTTGCACTCCTCAAGCTCTTCAAGTCGCAATGTGCCATACGAACATGTTTCATCTGCCTTCGCCTCAGCCTTGTGAAGCTTCTCGGTGCGCTCGTTCTGCCAATCATGGGGTCCCCGTCGCAGACCATAGATGGATTTGTTGGCATAGAACAGCACATCTGGATCTACCAAACCCAGTTTCACAAGCACTGTTGGCGGTCGAAGAAGAATTCTCTCATGTTTCGGCAACAAACTGTTTAAGAAGGCAGCTGATATGTCCAAGGATAATCCTTCCCAGGTTTCCTCATTAGCCAATCTTCCATACACCAATCGTAAAGTTTCGGGACTCAAGTTTTCACACGCAATCTCAGACTCCTCAATCTCGCTATCCGGCTGAAAGTTTCCGCATGCCACCAATCTGACACGAGCCTTGAACGCCGCCTCCGCAACAGCTGCTCCCAGAGTCGCTCCATTCTTGATGTCGGCCTCCGCCTCAAGGTCTGGTTTTTTCGCCAGCACCAATCTCATCGGAAGAATTTTCGGCAGCTGTTCCTTGGGTCCCAAACCCAAGTCCTCGCGCAGCTTTGATTCCCGCAGCTCATGCCAAACAACTTGCTCATGCATGGTGTTCATCTCCTTCTTAGCGGCTTCGTACCACTTGGTCCGATCTGCTTCTGATCCCTTGAAGAAAACGCTCGTGTCAACTATTTCAGCCGATGCCCGTTGTCCCGCAAGAATTCGAAGCATCTCCTCAGCATCCGTCATCTCATCTTCAGCTGCAGCATTCACAATGGTATACTTATCCGAACCTCCAGCCTTTGAAGCTAAAGCGGCTGCCACTGGAAAACCTTCTGATGGACTGTATCCTCGTTGAGTTTCTTCCACCGTGATCAGTCCCAAGTCCAATCCAATGTCTCTCACTGCCTCTGCATGCTTTGCCTCTCCTGCGCTAGAAATCCAAATCAAGTCTCCACTCTCTGAAGTAAACGTGCGCCACTGCTTGTTTGTCTCCTTCAGCACTGCCGGCAACCTCGTCAAGATAACTGTTGGTTTGCTGTTCCGTTGTACTTGTACGAATGCTCCATGCGTCGCATTGTCTGCTCTTCCCAGAAACACTCCCGGTTCAGCCCGAGCCTCCAGAGGTGCAGGATCAATGACCTTCACAGCCACCGCCTCACCAGGATATGGCAGCTCTCCCTGCCAAGATGTTCCAAGTATGCAATCCCGCATCCACCTAGCCGCTTCAGGGAACAAGTATGGCCAATAGCATAGCCGCACAGCTCCCGTGATGAGATACTCTCTGACCTTCTCTTTCAAGAGCCCGACCATTCTCTCCGCAAGCCCATTCGCCGCCGGATCATGTCCCGACGTGGTCGTCTGATGTATCCCAGCTTCACTCAAGTGTTGCACAACTTTCGTCGCTAAGAACTCCTTCGCCCTGTCCGAATGAATCCGAACTAGCCCTCGATGACCCACAATCGCATACAGCTCACTCAAGATAGAAGAGATCCCAGCATCAACATTCTCCCACAAGCGTCGCTTCAAGCAGCGGACGAATGGTAACACTTGATTCTCTTTAGAACGATACGCTCCGATCAAGACAAACCGCTCTCCTCCTGGAGCTGTTGTGTAAGGTCCTGCAATGTCAATCGAGAGGACTCCAGTCGAAAGATCCTCAATGCGAACACGTCTATGTGGCCGTTTCAAACCCTTCGCCTTGTATTCTTCAAGTCCATGGCAAACGGCTGCGGCGCAGGATCCATGGCTTCCAGCTAGATTCTCCGAAATTTCATCCCCAACCAATCCGAACTCCCTGAAAATATCCCCGTCCCAATCGGCGTCGCACTGCTCCGGATTGCCTCCTTCGTCAGGCTGCCCTGACAGACTAAGTGAATCAGGTCTAGGGTCCTTATGTGGTTCGGGTGATCCGGCTGGACCATGGGGCGTAAGCTTAGAGGTTTCAGCATCATCGGGTGATCCGGCTGGACCTCGGGACTCAGGCTTAGGGTGACTAGGGTCATCGGGTGATCCGGCTGGACCTGGGGTCAAGGAACTAGCCCTAGGATTACAACCACTAGGTAACCGAAAACCCAATTCGTCAAGCGTCGCCAGGTCGGCATTGGACAGTTTGTCCCAGCTGCGCGGCACATATGCAATCTGAACAACTCGGGATCCTGTGTAAGGTTCTGTTCCATGAAGCTTGTTGCCCCAGAACGTCACAACCTTGCCACCTGATGTAGCAAACAAGCTTCCTGGCTTCGGAGGTTCGTTTTGAGACACAGTGCGCAATTCGGTTCCATTCGTGTCCTCAATCCAAAGTTCTCCTCCAGCATGCTTGGTTAAGCCAATCAATGTAGTCTGATGATTGCAATCGTTGGGATCTCTATGTGGTCGAAACACGCAATCCCGTGAAATCACAACCGACATAAAGGGAGTTGATGTGTTCGCCCTCATGTACTTCACAAGAACCTTCGTAAGGTAGGGATGATGTCGCGTCAATGTTGTTATCCCCCTCAAACCTCCCTTCACCCAAGCTCCGAAAACCCACAAAGAAACTTTCTCCTGAGTACCCTCTATTTTGTTCATACGATTTGACACCATGGGCTTCAGGTCGGCACGATTGATTGCCTCCAGCACATCGCTATGTGTTAGCACGGTTTTTTCAAGCATATTCTTAGCAAACATCTCTCCAGGATGCTCTGCCACCAATGCCTGAACAGCTGTCTCCTCCTGGGCGTTGATTACATGGTCCAGGTCTGACCAGCTCAAGATGTTACACACTTCCGACATCGATTCCGCGCTAGCAGCAACACAAGCGGTGTGATGGTGTTTCCAATGTTGGGTCATCAAGGGCCTAAGCTTAAG